ACAGTCAGATTTTAATTGACCTCATTTACATACAAGACAGTATGTGATAAATACGCCTTAAATCTGCAGTATATAAACTCACCCTGGCAGGCCAGAAAGGATAACCCTTCATCTTAGCAAACACTACGTCTCCTGGAATAAAACCCTCTGTGGTCTGATCAGATGTCATCTTCATCTGAGAAAACAAAGAGTTAATTAATAACAACAACACTCGTTATGTGCCACCAACACACACAAACAATAAACAAAACACTGGACCAGCAGATACACCGCTTATATTAATACAATTAGCCTTATGGTTATGAACATGCCTCTGTAAAACAATAATATGACTTTATTATAATTGCACCGCTATCGATGAGGTAAATAAAATGATAGCCGTGTTTAGCTAGCTCAGGCTAACACAAGCATATCGTGTGTATACAAACTCACCTTCACTCCCTTCTGCATATCTACTCCCCCAGAGGCCACTCTATAAACACTCAGATTTAAAAACAAGACGGAAAACACTCGAATTAAAAATATTATCACGCAATGAATGAAAAGACATGGAGAAGTGCATGAGAATGTGTGCCTCCCCTCAGCGCCGGTGGAATGGTTCGGCCCGCCTCCCGCTCAGCGTGACTCAGGAATGTACCACTACCGAGAGAGGGGGGTGGGTGGGGTTGCGATTACTTAAAATATAATTAATAACAGCGATTCTTCGCACCATTTAGATCAACTGCCACGTATTTTAACTTGTATTTAATTAATAGTGGATTTAAAATTATATTCGCAAACTGAAAAGCTACATATTTATGTACGAGTTATGTAGTCTCTCTTAAAGGGGTCATATGATGCGATTTCAATGTTTCCTTTCTCTTTGGAGTGTTACAAGCTCTTGGTGCATAAAGAAGATCTGTAAAGTTGCAAAGACTAAAGTCTCAAATCCAAAGAGATATTCTTTATAAAAGGTAAGAGTCAGCCACGCCCCCCTAAAACGGCTCGTTCTAACACGCCCCCACATGTCTACATCACTATGTGACAGGACTGTGAATCTTCACTGGCTTCACGATTCGATGCGTTCACGAGTATCATGTCAACGATTCGATTCAGTTTCCAATATTACTGCACATGGCTACAAAATGCATTTTTAGTAAATTATATAAGCAGGCTACTTTTTTAAATAATTTCAAATTAATAATAAATCAAAACAATTGTTAAGAATTTAACCAACTAAATATAGCTTCAAAACATGCAAGCAAATATAAAGTAATGAAGGGGGAAAAGACAATTACAAGTGATAAACAAAAAGTACTTTCGGTATCCGAGCGTTTGCAGACAATCATAGTTATGGGTTTTTCTTTTTTCCTCAGCATTATTTCTGTTTTATTATTACTGATGAGATCACAGACAATAGGCTGCATTCCCACTAATGCACAGATCTGTTTTGTGCTGTTCTGAAAACATAACTGATTGTGTTTACATCAATTTCATATCATAAAAGGATGGAAGGAATTATATATTATTTAGAAACAGTCATGAACTACATTGAAGCTACTTAATGCATAAATCATATTTAATAATAAATCATATAATTAGAAATCAGAGCATTAATTATCTGGCACGTAAATAATGAGGTGTAAAGCTAAAGAAGTGTGAGAACATCAAACTACAACATAAGTCTACACTAAATACAACCAATACAGCTAAAAAAACATAATTTCGAACATCAATCAACAGCAGTATTTAATGACATTTTATTTATTTTCATAATTAGTTTTCTTGTACATTTAGCAGAATTATTAAATAAGCTACTTGCCATTTTTTTCTCATGAAAGCTGCAAACCACATGTTATTTCTTTGGTCTGCTGGTTTTAAAGTATTTTTTTTTAAGTATTAACACATTAATGCTTGATTATCCGAGTAAGCGACAGTGACAGTTTTCACGCAGATGCTGGATGTCAGAGGAGCGTGTGTTTGTTTAATCCTCCACTCTGTGGAAATCCTCTTTCCAGTCGCCATCTACAGATGAGGAGAGATGGATGGGCTGTAGGTCTCAGTTCATGAAGATTATCTGACTGTCAGTGGCTGCTTACACTGGCTGCCAGTGATGTGCTGTGTGTGTGTGTGTGTGTGTGTGTGTGTATGTGTGTGTGTGTGTGTGTGTGTGTGTGTCGCTGTTGCATCAATGCAAACTCCTCACCTTTTGGTGAAAATTCACCTTTTTGAGATAAAAAAAAAAGTATATATGTATTTATAAACTCTGGCTTTTTAAAAAAAAAAAAATATATATATATATATATAATAGAATTACATTCAAAATTGTGGGATAAAAGTCAGAATTGTGAGTTTGTGTGTGTGTATATATATACAGTATATATATATATAGAAAAGATATACAAGATCAAAGATTAACGCTCCGAAGTTCCGATCTGAACCAAATTATTCGCAATAACTGCTCTGTAGTTCCGATCTGAATCAAATGATTCACAATAAGCGCTCCAAAGATCCGATCTGAATCAAATTATTTGCAATACACGCATTGAAGTTCCGATCTGAACCAAATGATTTACGATAAGCGGTCCGAAGTTCCGATCTGAATCAAATTATTTGCAATACACGCATTGAAGTTCCGATCTGAATCAAATGATTCACAATACGTGCATTGAAGTTCCGATCTGAACCAAATGATTCACGATAAGTGCTCCGAAGTTCCAATCTGAGTCAAAAGATTTGTGATACACACATTGAAGTTCCGATCTGAACCAAATGATTTATGATAAGTGCTCTGTAGTTTCGATCTGAACCAAATGATTTGCAATAAGCGTTCCGAAGTTCCAATCTGAGTCAAAAGATTTGCAAACCTGCTCCGAATTTCCAATCTGAATCAAATGATTCACAATAAGAGCTCCGAAGTTCCAATCTGAGTCAAAAGATTTGCAAACCTGCTCCGAATTTCCAATCTGAATCAAATGATTCGCTACAGAGTACTTATCGTGAATCATTTGGTTCTGAACCAAATGATTCACAATAAGCGCTCCAAAGTTCCGATCTGAGTCAAATGTTTCGCGATACGCGCATTGAAGTTCCGATCTGAACCAAATGTTTCGCGATACGCGCATTGAAGTTCCGATCTTAACCAAATGATTCACAATAAGAGCTCCGAAGTTCCAATCTGAGTCAAAAGATTCACGATACACGCATTGAAGTTCCGATCTTAACCAAATGATTCACAATAAGCGCTCCGAACTTCCGATCTGAGTCAAATGTTTCGCGATACGCGCATTGAAGTTCCGATCTTAACCAAATGATTCACAATAAGAGCTCCGAAGTTCCAATCTGAGTCAAAAGATTCACGATACACGCATTGAAGTTCCGATCTTAACCAAATGATTCACAATAAGCGCTCCAAAGTTCCGATCTGAGTCTGCGATAAGTGCTCTGTAGTTCCGATCTGAACCAAATGATTCGCGATAAGTGCTCTGTAGTTCCGATCTGAACCAAATGATTTGCGATAAGTGCTCTGTAGTTCCGATCTGAACCAAATGATTCGCGATAAGTGCTCTGTAGTTCCGATCTGAACCAAATGATTCGTGATAAGCGCTCCGAAGTTCCAATCTGAGTCAAAAGATTTGCAAACCTCCTCCGAATTTCCGATCTGAATCAAATGATTCACGATACATGCATTGAAGTTCCGATCTGAATCAAATGATTCGCGATACGTGCATTGAAGTTCCGATCTGAATTAAATGATTCGCGATACGCGCATTGAAGTTCCGATCTGAACCAATTGATTTGTGATAAGTGCTCTGAAGATCCAGTCCGAGTCAAAAGATTTGCAATCCCACTCCGAAGTTCTGATCTGAACCAAATGATTTGCAATAACTGCTCTGTAGTTCCGAGCTGAACCAAATGATTCGCAATAAGCGTTCCGAAGATCCAATCTGAGTCAAAAGATTTGCAATAAGTGCTCTGTAGTTCCGATCTGAACCAAATGATTTGCAATAAGTGCTCTGTAGTTCCGATCTGAATCAAATGATTTGTGATACACGCATTGAAGTTCCGAGCTGAACCAAATGATTCGCGATAAGCGTTCCGAAGATCCAATCTGAGTCAAAAGATTTGCAAACCTGCTCTGAAGTTCCGATCTGAATCAAATGATCCGCAATACACGCATTGTAGTTCCGATCTGAACCAAATGATTCGCAATAAGTCCTCTGTAGTTCCGATCTGAATCAAATGATCCGCAATACACGCATTGTAGTTCCGATCTGAACCAAATGATTCGCAATAAGTCCTCTGTAGTTCCGATCTGAATCAAATGATCCGCAATACACGCATTGTAGTTCCGATCTGAACCAAATGATTCGCAATAAGTCCTCTGTAGTTCCGATCTGAACCAAATGATTCGCAATAAGCGTTCCGAAGATCCAATCTGAGTCAAAAGATTTGCAAACCTGCTCTGAAGTTCCGATCTGAATCAAATGATTAACGATACGTGCATTGAAGTTCCGATCTGAATAAAATGATTCACAATACGTGCATTGAAGTTCCTATCTGAACCAAATGATTCGCAATAAGTACTCTGTAGTTCCGATCTGAATCAAATGATCCGCAATACACGCATTGTAGTTCCGATCTGAACCAAATGATTCGCAATAAGCGCTCCGAAGATCCAATCTGAGTCAAAAGATTTGCAAACCTGCTCCGAATTTCCGATCTGAATCAAATGATTCGCGATACGTGCATTGAAGTTCCGATCTGAATCAAATGATCCGCAATACACGCATTGTAGTTCCGATCTGAACCAAATGATTCGCAATAAGCGCTCCGAAGATCCAATCTGAGTCAAAAGATTTGCAAACCTGCTCCGAATTTCCGATCTGAATCAAATGATTCACGATACGTGCATTGAAGTTCTGATCTGAATCAAATGATTCGCGATACGTGCATTGAAGTTCCGATCTGAATTAAATGATTCGCGATACGCGTATTGAAGTTCCGATCTGAACCAATTGATTTGTGATAAGTGCTCCGAAGATCCAGTCCGAGTCAAAAGATTTGCAATCCCACTCCGAAGTTCTGATCTGAACCAAATGATTTACAATAAGTGCTCTGTAGTTCCGAGCTGAACCAAATGATTCGCAGTAAGCGTTCCGAAGATCCAATCTGAGTCAAAAGATTTGCAAACCTGCTCTGAAGTTCCGATCTGAATCAAATGATTCACGATACGTGCATTGAAGTTTTGATCTGAACCAAATGATTCGCGATAAGTGTTCCTAAGATCCAATCTGAGTCAAAAGATTTGCAAACCTGCTCTGAAGTTCCAATCTGAATCAAATGATTAACGATACGTGCATTGAAGTTCCGATCTGAACCAAATGATTCGCAATAAGTGCTCTGTAGTTCCGATCTGAATCAAATGATCCGCAATACATGCATTGTAGTTCCGATCTGAACCAAATGATTCGTGATAAGCGCTCCGAAGATCCAGTCCGAGTCAAAAGATTTGCAATCCCACTCCGAAGTTCTGATCTGAACCAAATGATTTGCAATAAGTGCTCTGTAGCTCCGAGCTGAACCAAATGATTCGCAATAAGCATTCCGAAGATCCAATCTGAGTCAAAAGATTTGCAAACCTGCTCCGAATTTCCGATCTGAATCAAATGATTCACGATACGTGCATTGAAGTTCCGATCTGAATCAAATGATTCACGATACGTGCATTGAAGTTCCGATCTGAATCAAATGATTCACGATACGTGCATTGAAGTTCCGATCTGAATCAAATGATTCACGATACGTGCATTGAAGTTCCGATCTGAATCAAATGATTCACGATACGTGCATTGAAGTTCCGATCTGAACCAAATGATTCACGATAAGTGTTCCGAAGTTCCAATCTGAGTCAAAAGATTCGTGATACACGCATTGAAGTTCCGATCTGAACCAAATTATTTACGATAAGCGCTCCGAAGTTCTGATCTGAATCAAATGATTTGCGATACGCGCATTGAAGTTCCGATCTGAACCAAATGATTCACGATAAGTACTCTGTAGCGAATCATTTGATTCAGATCGGAACTTCAATGCGTGTATCACGAATCTTTTGACTCAGATTGGAACTTCGGAACACTTATCGTGAATCATTTGGTTCTGAACCAAATGATTCACAATAAGCGCTCCGAAGTTCCGATCTGAGTCAAATGTTTCGCGATACGCGCATTGAAGTTCCGATCTGAACCAAATGATTCACGATAAGTGTTCCGAAGTTCCAATCTGAGTCAAATGTTTCGCGATACGCGCATTGAAGTTCCGATCTGAACCAAATGATTCACGATAAGTGTTCCGAAGTTCCAATCTGAGTCAAAAGATTTGCAAACCTGCTCCGAATTTCCAATCTGAATCAAATGATTCACGATACGTGCATTGAAGTTCCGATCTGAATCAAATGATTCGCTACAGAGTACTTATCGTGAATCATTTGGTTCTGAACCAAATGATTCACAATAAGCGCTCCGAAGTTCCGATCTGAGTCAAATGTTTCGCGATACGCGCATTGAAGTTCCGATCTTAACCAAATGATTCACAATAAGAGCTCCGAAGTTCCAATCTGAGTCAAAAGATTCACGATACACGCATTGAAGTTCCGATCTTAACCAAATGATTCACAATAAGCGCTCCGAACTTCCGATCTGAATCAAATTATTTGCAATATACGCATTGAAGTTCTGATCTGAACCTGTCTTTAGTGTGCGAGAGGACAAACAGATGTGTGTGTAGGATCAGTTTCTGTGTGCTGTGAACGATGGTCAGAATGAAACTTCAGCTGCAGATGCTGATTCAGACTCAGACTCAGAAACTTGGGAGTGTTGCGCTGAAGCATCAGTTTATCTGACGTCTCCTGTGAGACGCGAGGATGATCAGACTGATGTTCAGTGGCGTCAGCAGCACACGAGATCCACAGGGGCTGTTTTCATGATCTCTGGAGGATCTAGTGGAGCTTCAAACTCAGGGTCCTGCTTAAAGACACACTCCTAAAACGGCAAAAAAGAAAGAAAGAAAAAACGTCCTTTAGCAAGTTTCTGACTCTTTTAAGGGAATCGTTCAGTCAGAAATGAAAATTCTGTTATAACTTTATATAGACACTAAATACAACCAATACAGCTAAAAAAAACATAAGTGCTCTGTAGTTCCGATCTGAACCAAATGATTCGTGATAAGCGCTCTGAAGTTCCAATCTGAGTCAAAAGATTTGCAAACCTGCTCCGAATTTCCGATCTGAATCAAATGATTCATGATACGTGCATTGAAGTTCCGATCTGAATCAAATGATTCGCGATACGTGCATTGAATTTCCGATCTGAATTAAATGATTCGCGATACGCGCAGTGAAGTTCCGATCTGAACCAATTGATTTGTGATAAGTGCTCCGAAGATCCAGTCCGAGTCAAAAGATTTGCAATCCCACTCCGAAGTTCTGATCTGAACCAAATGATTCGCAATAAGTGCTCTGTAGTTCCGAGCTGAACCAAATGATTCGCAATAAGCGTTCCGAAGATCCAATCTGAGTCAAAAGATTTGCAAACCTGCTCGGAAGTTCCGATCTGAATCAAATGATTCACGATAAGTGCTCTGTAGTTCCGATCTGAATCAAATGATTCGCAATAAGTGCTCTGTAGTTCCGATCTGAATCAAATTATTCGCAATAAGTGCTCTGTAGTTCCGATCTGAACCAAATGATTCGCAATAAGTGCTCTGTAGTTCCGATCTGAATCAAATGATTTGCGATACACGCATTGAAGTTCCGAGCTGAACCAAATGATTAGCAATAAGCGTTCCGAAGATCCAATCTGAGTCAAAAGATTTGCAAACCTGCTCTGAAGTTCCGATCTGAATCAAATAATCCGCAATACACGCATTGTAGTTCCGATCTGAACCAAATGATTCGTGATAAGCGCTCCGAAGATCCAGTCCGAGTCAAAAGATTTGCAATCCCACTCCGAAGTTCTGATCTGAACCAAATGATTCGTGATAAGCGCTCCGAAGATCCAGTCCGAGTCAAAAGATTTGCAATCCCACTCCGAAGTTCTGATCTGAAACAAACGATTCGCAATAAGTGCTCTGTAGTTCCGATCTGAATCAAATAATCCGCAATACACGCATTGTAGTTCCGATCTGAACCAAATGATTCGTGATAAGCGCTCCGAAGATCCAGTCCGAGTCAAAAGATTTGCAATCCCACTCCGAAGTTCTGATCTGAAACAAACGATTCGCAATAAGTGCTCTGTAGTTCCGAGCTGAACCAAATGATTAGCAATAAGCGTTCCGAAGATCCAATCTGAGTCAAAAGATTTGCAAACCTGCTCCGAATTTCCGATCTGAATCAAATGATTCACGATACGTGCATTGAAGTTCCGATCTGAATCAAATGATTCACAATACGTGCATTGAAGTTCCGATCTGAATCAAATGATTCACAATACGTGCATTGAAGTTCCGATCTGTGTCAAAAGATTCGTGATACACGCATTGAAGTTCCGATCTGAACCAAATGATTTACGATAAGCGCTCCGAAGTTCCGATCTGAATCAGATGATTCACAATACGTGCATTGAAGTTCCGATCTGAACCAAATGATTTACGATAAGCGCTCCGAAGTTCCGATCTGAATCAAATTATTTGCAATACACGCATTGAAGTTCTGATCTGAACCAAATGATTCACGATAAGTGCTCTGTAGTTTCGATCTGAACCAAATGATTTGCGATAAGCGTTCCGAAGTTCCAATCTGAGTCAAAAGATTTGCAAACCTGCTCCGAATTTCCAATCTGAATCAAATGATTTTGTCCGCCGTAAGCCAAGGATTCCAACGAGATAAGACACTTGAGTCTGCGACTAATGTTTTAGGAGCTATGAGCGATTTCGTACACCGTCGCAGGTGAAGAGGGAGAACAGAATGGGACTGAGCACACACCCCTGGGGTGTACCTGTGCTCAGAGTGATGGTGGAGGATGGTCCAGTCTCACTGTCTGGGGTGCTCTGTCAGGAAATCTTGTGTCCAGCTGTAGGCAAACTGATATAGGTCGAGTGAGGCCGGTATAGAGTCTTTAGTGTGCGAGAGGACAAACAGATGTGTGTGTAGGATCAGTTTCTGTGTGCTGTGAACGATGGTCAGAATGAAACTTCAGCTGCAGATGCTGATTCAGACTCAAACTCAGAAACTTGGGAGTGTTGCGCTGAAGCATCAGTTTATCTGACGTCTCCTGTGAGACGCGAGGACGATCAGACTGATGTTCAGTGGCGTCAGCAGCACACGAGATCCACAGGGGCTGTTTTCATGATCTCTGGAGGATCTAGTGGAGCTTCAAACTCAGGGTCCTGCTTAAAGACACACTCCTAAAACGGCAAAAAAGAAAGAAAGAAAAAACGTCCTTTAGCAAGTTTCTGACTCTTAAGGGAATCGTTCAGTCAGAAATGAAAATTCTGTTATAACTTTATATAGATAATACATTTCAAAGGTTTGGGGTCAATTATATTTTTTTCTTTGACAGAAAATAATTGTATTCATCAAGGATGCATTAAAGTGATCAAAAGTGACCGTAAAGACATTTAAGATGTTAGAAAAGATTTCTATTTCAAATAAATGCTGTTCTTCTGAACTTTCTATTCATCTGTGAATCCTGAAAAATTAAATGCATAACAGTTTCCTCAAAAATATTGTGCAGCACGACTGTTTTCAACATTGATAATAATCAGAAATGTTTCTCGAGCAGCAAATCAGCATATTATACTGATTTCTGAAGATCATGTGACACTGAAGACTGGAGGAATGATGCTGAAAATACAGCTGCGCATCACAGAAATACATTACAGTTTAACAGAGATTCACAGAGAACACAGCTGTCAGGCGTATCCATAATATTTCACTGTTTTAACTGTAATTTTGATAAAATAAATGCAGCCCTGTTGAGTAGAAGAGACTTCTTTTCAAACATTACGAAATCTTAATGACCCCAAACTTTTGAGAGCGTGTGGGTCTTGAAATAACACTGTAAATGTCTCTCTCTTCGGGTCACTGGTGTCTTTAAGAGGATCATGTGGCCGAACAAACTAACAGACTCGTTTGTCATGACTGTGAATGAAGTTGAGAGTAGCTTTAATCTCATGTCTGATTAAATGCCGTTTCACAAACACACTGTCAGCCGTTTCTGCTGTAACGACACATTTCACTGCTTAAAGTCCCGGCTTCATGAATACATGAGCGTTTACAGTCATTACTGACGCTTATGCCTCTAATTATTACAGTCTGATATTAAGTCCAGTATGAAATGTCAGTTTAAGGCTGGCTGCTTTTGTTGCTCGACGTTGAAAAGTTAAAAATGTATCCAGTTCAAAAAGAGCAAGAGATGTTCAAGCTTAAATCATTTTATTAAAACATGTAAGTTTCAATGGAAAGACACTTTGATTTCTCAAATCTCTTAGTCGTAATGTTGGTCACAGAGTAAAAGTGTTTGTCAGCATGTTTGCGCACAAATCTCATTGGATGGTGATTAAAATCTAGTATTTATTTTTTAATTATTATATTTGCTTGTTTATATATTAATACAGTCAAAAGGGGTTTAAAAAAATGCAATTTAAAGTGACATTAAGATATATTTGGAGAGCAATGCAACTTGAAAGCAATACAGACTATGCAGTTGTTTAAAAGGTACAATGGTTTTCAGTGATTGATTAATAAACTAATACATTTTCTTTTTCTTTCTATATGCCCCCGACATATTTGGTTGTATTATTGTACAATATGTTTGGTTTTCAGTTAAAAAATAAATAAAAAATAATAGTTTTAAAATGCGGAAAAAAATCACACATGTCCGAAAAGATTTAGACAGGTGTACAAATATGCTGTAAAGAATAATTTTTGTATATAAGTTGTATATAAAACAAAGGTTATCGAGGAAAACACTATTTCGGTCTTTCTACTGCAAAATTCAGTGTTTGATTCAATATGTTAATTGTGAAATTTACTAGCGATTTCTGTGTGAAAATTGTTTCTACATCTTTTTTTTTTTTTTCAGGCGTATCCACAGTTATTAATATCGGTACGAAAACAGTCCTTGTGCTGTGTAATATGCACACAGCGTTTGATATCATGTGATTTAAATGTATTATCAGAATGATAAACACACTGGCTTGTAGCGCAGATAGGTTTAGCGTTTCCTGCACTTTGTTGCTCTTAGTTATTTACCGATATATCGGCCGATTAATCATAAGTCGCGTATATTGACAGAAAACAAGCGGATATAATTAGGAACCAAAGTGATCCGTAGCCTATCTGTGTTATTTTCCTGTCTGTTTTGTCCATTTTTTTTCTCCACAATCACATCGGGGGAACTTCTGAAAGTGATTCAAGTTTTAATTACGACAAAGATCAGCATGCGTGTGTTTGTCCCCCTTTATATCGCCGATGTGCCAAGTTGGAGCGCGCACAAAGAGACGGCGCCGGTCTGGTCGCTCGCGCACGCTCTCCTTCACGTCTCAATGTGGGACAGCAGAAAGTGGCATCAGAGGGAAAGTGGATTAAAGTAGGTTCCTCTCCTCCTCCTCTCTCCCTCGTTCTCTCCCTCAAGGGCGCGTGTTTTTTGGCAGGGTCACCTGAGTCCTCCGGTTGGCCGCGGCTCGCAGGTAGCGAAGTTTGACGCTAACGAGAAGGAGCTTTGAAGCCGTCCCCAGTTACTTAAACACAACAACCTTCATTAATTCACAACGACGGTCCCATCAGGTTCTCATTAACAGCGGCACGAACACTCACCGGCGCCGTTATTAACTATTAATCCTCGTGTTTCTAGGTGTTTGGGGCTCTTCTGCTGCCAGAGGCCTGATTTCCGCAGGTTTGTCCCTCGTGAAATATTCGGGTTTGTGTTGTTTTTATCTGCTGCAGTATGGAGGACCAAGCCTGCCAAAATTAAATGTAAATAAATAGATTGATAAATAAGTAAATGTATAATATAGGAAATAAATGACTTGACTTTATGTATTATTTTCTGTATTAATTCTTTTAAACTTTTATTTTCTTATTCTTTCTTTTTTATTTTATATATATATATTTATTTTCTTTTTTAATCGTATTTATTCATGCATTTATAATATGCATCTTAATGATTATATAATGATCTCCATGTTGCACAAGGAAAAGTAAAAAGAAATAAACGAATAAATAAACCTGGAAATAAATACATGTGGGAATAAATAAATACATCTAATATTAATTAATTAATAAAATATAAAAATAGGTGAAATTATAAGTAAATAAAAGTTTAAAAAGAATAAAAATAAATGCAGAAAATAATGCATGAAGGAAAAAGGTCATAAAAATTTAAGTTTTATGACACTAAACTATATTTTATAAATATAGACTATATTTGTTTTAATCGAGAACCTATTTATCTATATGTTTATTTATTTATTTTATTTTTAATTTCTGCAGGTTTGGACCTCCATATTGCAGGAGCTCAAAGTAGTGTTAAATATTTTGCAGATTATTGAGAATGTTAAACATGCACAGATGGAAAATTATTTAGAGTTTCATAAAAAAATCAGAGAAAGTGTACCATGTTAATAAACATTTCTGCTAAAATTCATATAAGAGGTCAAATAAACCAAGGACTCCCAAACATTTGTCAACCGAAAATATTTATTTTATTTTATGCAATTTTAAGTTAATGTTTTTAATAATTTGACAGCAAGCGTTTCTGATGGTCGCATGACATGCAGGTATACAAGCTTTATTTTTTCAAGTAGTGTTTTATTTTGATTAACATGATCTTAATTTGACATTTTCATGATATAATTCATTATTAGCTATTCACTCACTCACAAGCCCTCTGCAGTTTCTGGATTCTGATTGGCTGTCAATTCAAAATGCTTCAAAAATGTGCAAATAAATAAGGCATATAGTTAAATCCCTAAAGATGTATAGAAAGACAGCAAACTTACAATACATAAGTAACAAATACAATAGATAAATATAAGCTTTAAAAAAAAAAGGCTTTCTAAAATTAGCTTAGCTTCTTAGTTTTGCACAAGTATTTAATAATAATTTAATTTTAAGAATTTGGGCTTGGGTATAAAACATCTGCATGCATGTTTGAAAACAAGTAAAAAAGTTATCTTTTTTTCTCTTATTTTTCTATATTGTTATAGTTTTTATGAATGGGCGGCTTTCTAAAATTAGCTTAGCTTCTTAGTTTTGCACAAGTATTTAATAATAATTTAATTTTAAGAATTTGGGCTTGGGTATAAAACATCTGCATGCATGTTTGAAAACAAGTAAAAAAAGTTATCTTTTTTTCTCTTATTTTTCTATATTGTTATAGTTTTTATGAATGGGCCTTAATTCGTTTTTCCTTCACAAATGTCTGCATTTAATTCAGCTCGAACTGCTTTGCGTAAAGATCAAACTTTGTTTTGCTAGTCATTTTAATTTTTTTGCCAATGTTATATTTTTACTTGTGTTATTTTACAATTATTTATATATTATTATTATTATAGAATTTGATTAACATTTGAATTAGCTTTTATTTCTGTACATTCCGTTTTTGTTGTAATTTTAGTTTTTGATTTTTAAAACTATTTCTATTTATCTTTTTACTAATTTTAGTACTTCAGCTTAAAGTTTTGTTAGTTAGTTGCCATGGCAACGTTTAAAATTAAGCTGAAGTTTCATTTTTTTTAGTTTATTTTAATGAAGGAAACTTGTTTTTAATAGTTTGTTTGCACAAACAGGACTACTGTTGGCACTTCAGAATCTGAAGAAAGATGCATGTCATCGTTATAATATTTGCTTGCATACCACACTGTGATTGCTTTGCCTTCTTGAATTTATGTCCATTTATATTGACATTTGATGCAGCATTTTAAAACAGAACTAGAGACTAAAACCTGAACTCACGTAATACTTGAACGCCGTTTTCCTGCCAAGTTTAAGAACGTTTAACCTCTCTAGGACTGCAAGAAAAGTCTCTCTAATATATATATATATATATGGGGCTGTTGAAATGCTGATCAGCACATTTGAGATCTGTGTCTCTGCGCAGTTTTAGCCCAGAGCTCTTCCCCTCCCGAGTGTTTCTGAGTTGTTTTGGAATTTCTGTCTCTTCAAGACAAAGGAACGCTCTCGTCCTATCAAACGCAGCCGCTCTGCTGTTCTCATTAGAAGTGGGCGGTTTGGAGAGAGAGTGATAGTGATTAGGGCTCTTTATATTTCCTCGGGCCCCAACGATCCCATCAGAACTTCATCAGGAGACTCCAGATACGGACTAAACCCGGGAAAGTCTGAAGACATGGGGACGTGGACACACACACTCCTCCAGGAGGTATCGCACATGTGCATACTTTTAATTTTTGAGAAATATGTTCTCTAAATATTCCTGTTTATTGAAAGTCTTCGTGAGATTTATGAGTCGTTTCAACAGAAAACATCTGCGTGTTTGACAGACGGACAGCGACGGGTCTCTTCTGAAGCGAGATGAGCAGACTCTGAAGATGGAGGAGGAGGCACAGGTGGACAATTCTATCATTAATTCACTAAAATCAATAAACAGCATCATCAACTTTATAAATAAGGTGTAAAATTTACCTGAAATATACTTGTGCTCTAAATGACATTTTTACTGTGTTTTCAGATTGTTCTATTTTGAAGGTCAGCGTGACTCTATTTAATTAGTGAAATAAATTGAATTTTAAAATCCTTAAAAATTTCATATACATTTCAGTGTGAAACTGTAACTCTGGTCATCCTTCACAATAGTTTTTAACCTGAAGCAATTCGTTCAGTCATAACCATAAATGCACATACTTCACTGTGAGCACACGCCATTAAACATTAAAATAAAAAAAGTAATTATTTTTAAAAATGTATTTAAAAAAATGTTTACATACCAAATTGCAATTTTATTCTGCTTTTAAATTTTTTTAATATATTTTATAATTATATTATCATTTATTATTTATTTATTGTTATAATTTTATTTATTTTAATTCTATTTTTTTTATTTAATTTAAAGCATACATTTATTATTGTTTTCTTAAATATCAGATTCAGATTAAACATGTTTCGCCCAGTTTGAGCTTCAAAGTGACTGTAATGAGAAACAAACTCTTTTGGTCTGGTTTATTTTATTTATAAGTTTAAAATGTGTAAACTTTAGAAGCGTTTCACACTTTTTCGCTCTACTTTCTTGTTCTGCAGGTTGTTGGTTGCACACAAGCTGACTGTCCGTGTGAGTGTTTCCTGCCAGGACAAACTCAGATCAGGTCATGTGATCGCTCTACACATGGCTGGGTCCTTCACGGTATGAATCACACATGTGAGTGTGAGTGTGTGTGTGTGTGTTTGTGTTTGTGTGTGTTTGTGTGGTGTGTTGGTGTGTGTGTGTGTGTGTCTGTCTGTCTGTCTGCGTGTGTGTGTCTCTGTATGTGTGTGTGTGTGTGTGTGTGTGTGTGTGTGTGCGCAGCGGTGGGTAAGGTGTGCGCTCCGGCTCTGCTGTGTTCGGGGCAGGTGGAGATCGTCCAGAGTAGTGTGGTGTTTGACATCAGCAGTCTGATTCTGTACGGGACGCAGGCGCTTCCCGTCCGGATGAAGATCCTGCTGGACCGTCTGTTCAGCGTACTCACACACACACAGGTGCTCAACATCATACACACTCTCGGATGGACGCTGCGTGACTACGTGAGAGGATACATGCTGCAGGTGAACACACACGCAAAACATACATACTTACAGGTGCTCAACACCACACACACACTCCGATGGACGCTGTGTGTTTGTGCTGTAGGTAAACACACACTTGCACACACACACACACACACACACTCGCAGGCACACAATCACAAACATACAAACACAGACATACATGCAAAAACACATTTACACACATACACACACACGCAAAAACATACAGTATATACCTGCACACACACACACACGCAAAAATACACATGCACACGCACACACACACACACACACACACACACACACA